AACTTAACTGTTTGTCAAACTAAAATTGATCATTAAAAAAAACAGTTTTAGATGTTTACCAGCATCACATACCTGGTATAAAAGTTGCTTGATAGACCAAAAAAAAAAAAAAGAGGGAAAAATATTTTTCTCCACTGGTGCTGCATTGATACATAGTTGGTCTGATGATTGACAGTTTAGCTGACAGATGTAGATCAGTGCAGCAGAAGCAGATCCTGCATGCTATATTCCTTCTTATCTATTAGCGGCCATGCTCTGACTGTTATTTGGGTAACTGCAAACACAGCGTTCAGTTCATCAATCCCATAGATTCTTACTACAAAGATCTGTAGAGCTCTTTCTTCCCCTCTTACTTTACAGCTGTGGTCTTAGGTAAGACTGTTAAAATATTTAAACTTGTTCTGTCAGATTTTGAGACTTCTTTGATGTCTTAATACTCTGACTGGATCAACTCTCCTAGGAGTGTTGATCCAGCCAGGGTTATCTCATAATCTCTGACCAACGGTAGAGCAAGTTCACCTCCAAGGTGCATTAAAGCATGTTGTAACTTAATTTATAGTATGGTGAACTGAAAAAAGAGATCTATTTTCCATATCAAAAGAAACATTTAAACTGTCTTTGGCAAAAACTGATGAGATGTGGCTTTTTGAAGCTACTAAGTGAAGTAAAAAAAAAATTATTGGATGATTTTGACAGATGGTTTTATGAGAAGCTTTTATTTCAGCAAAACACCTGCTCCTGACTGGAAACTAATTAAGAATTTGTCAATCCACAAAGTAAATGCCTAGATTGTAATTTTTAGATTTTCACTCTAACCTTTTATTGTCACTGAAGCTTTTTGTTTCCACTAGATATATATTTACAGACTCCTTACATTTCCAATATGATGGGTTAAAAAGTAAGCAGAGATGAGTGTAATATAATAGGCATCTATATATATGTTATGCCCTGAAGGCTGAGTGAACAGACTCCCAGCACACCTACAAGCTCCCACTCATCTGATGGAAAGCAAACACTCCCACATTCATGCTTCTTGGCTTTTTCTGTTTCACTGCTGCTTATTTCTCCATTCCATCCTTCTCTCTTAACTGTCTCATAAATGTACACAGAGGCTGCAGGCTATTCTTCACTGAACAATCTCCTGCTCACTGTGTCCGTCTCAGAAGAATCACCCACCCTCTAAAATATACACCAAGTTATGAAACCTTTGCCCAGGGCACATCTTTTTATATTGGTTTGTGCCTCGGCTGGAGCCTGACGCTGGTCCTGTGTGTAAACTCCAGATATATGGTTGTGTCACTGGGGCTTTCTCGCCATCTAGCACGCAGTTCTAACCTAAACAGTGATTCAGAATTATAATCTGCTGCCCACTCTGTCCTGTTCCTGACCAGCAACCCCTCAGAGAATACATGAACAGAAGATGAACTGATATGAAGGAAAAAGGTTATGTTTATTCCTCCTGTTTTGTTATGTAGGGTGGGTATCTAAATGCAGAATTACTCTCTCACCACATCTCTGCTCACTTTTATACCTTTTCATTGCAAAACAGTGTGCAGATAAGATTTTTTAAAATGCAGCAGGTTTAAACAGAAAATGTCATTATTTACTGGAGTTAGAAATTCTTCAAAATATGAGCCATGAATTAATCACAATCCGACTCGTTTTTCAAAGCAGATAAGCAATTTCAAAACCCATATTTTTGACAATAAGAGCGTCTTTAGAGATGGAAATCTCGCCCACCTGAAGCAGTTTCCCCTTAAAACCCCAATTTTTACTTCAGGGTTTTTGAGGCAGATGTTTTTGCACAAGACTCATATCATATGCAAAAAAATATCCCTTCTGATATACAAAATAGATCTATTTAACTAATTTAATCTCATAATTTGTGCTCCCTGTATTCCCTGCCATGATGTTTTAAACATCCAGCACTCTAATTTTACACAGGCTAGTTAGACAGCTTTTAAAAGGAGTGCTGATGCACATCAAGGTGTTAGAATAACAACGCTGGTGCAGAACCAGAGGATGCAGGATATCTACCTAAAGCACATCAGAATGTTATGCTTTTTATTTCAGCCTTTGTCACAAATAGTTATCTAATCATTTTTGGAATAATACAGGCAGACTTGGCTACCTACAGAGGGCTTTTAAATCCCCCCTTTGAATTATGTGGGTTACTTTGGCTCAAAGCTTCTCATCTCAAATATTGATCACTTCCTCCATACATGATTTTACAATCAAGATAGACCTTTAATTACTATTTTTTTTCTATTCTTTCAAGTGGGCTTTTTTTCTTTGCCACACACAAAAAATATAGGGGTAAGAATAGAAATTGTTTATTGAAAGTATTCTTTAACCAAATCTTACATAATTTAAGATCAGTTTTATATTGTTCAAAAACATTAAGTTCACTGTGACAGTCGTGGTGATTATCATGAAATGATAATTATGGAGGGGCCACTTCTTAAGATTTGGAGCCAGACTGCTGATAAATGGTCAAAGTGAGCCTTGATAAAAAAAAAAAGAAGGAATTAAGCCGATACAATTTTAAACTGTTTTGGGCATAGCTAAGAAATGTTCTATGATCTCCCTTTTTAAAATCAGGCAGTTCCTTTACACACAGCTTGTTTGTAGCAAGGTAGAAATAGCCTTTATTTAAACACACCATAAATTAACCACTCACTACAATTTGACAAAGAAGTTTTGACAATGTATAAAAATTAACAAAAAAACCAAAAACAAATAATAACTTTACTCTCCTTTGTAAATCACATTACAGCATATTTTCCTCTATACAGTAGATCATAATACTCATTTTCAAACAGTAATCCTTCAAAATACTGAATAATAATAACATACTATATAAATATAAATGAGAAAAGGATGGCTTCTTCCCTCCACTGGAAAAAGAAAGCAGTCGTTGCTATGACAACATAGTGACACCCCATGTGCATGGCTGTAGGTCTGTGGCGCAGGTTAACGTGATGTTAAACTTTTGCGCCTTTCTTAAAGCAAATTTATACGGTCAAATAAAACTATTTGAAAGAGGACCTTCAATTTTGGAATCAATAAAATTTTTTCTATATGTGTATCCAGTGTGTCGAAGATACAGCAAACCAGCAGTATTTACATTTGAATGTGTTCTATCCACCACCAGGCCGCTGTTACACCTGCTGCTGAATGCCAGAGAGCCTACAGCTGATGCAGACTCACTATGTAGGGGCTGAATGTTCCACTGGTCCTACCCACTGTGTGGTTTGGGATGTCTCTTAATGTGGCGGACTCTCCGCAGGAACAGGCAAACTGAGGGTTAGTGCTCATGGTTTGTGTTTAGGGACCGGTTTGGGATTGGGCCTATATGGGTGGTCAGCTACTGTTACAGCCTTTCTCACCACGGTTCTTTGAAAATGGCCGAGGGTCATAAGAGAAAATGGTCGAAAAAACTTAACTGGTCTTCGTTTCCAAGTTTGAAGGCGTTTCACTTTCCATCCAGGAAGCTTTTTCAATTCAAATTCTCAGAATTAGCATTGAGTTCAAAGCTTTATATAGTAACCCAAAAACTTGTTTTGGCAAAGAAGACATACAAATTGAGCCAGAATGGGGAGTCGTTTAGGGTTCTTTGTTGGCCTGCTATACCTGATACTGGGCTATGCCTCTGAAAGGGGGGTCGTTAGGGGCAATTGTTGGCTTGGCTGCCCAGGAAAGATGTATTGTCTCTTGCATGGGAGTTGGGGGTTGAAATGATAGTGGGAAGGAATCAAGTCTATTGTAGGTTTTCGAGAACTGAAACCTGAGTCCACCCCCTCTGTTTTTAAGGCTGTTCTTTTTTTTCTTTCTCAACATAAATGGCTTCCTTCAAACCCCTTTCAAACCACCTGTCTCCAAAAACAAACATTCTGTGAATATTATGGTCCTCAAATGAGTGTCCCTTGTTCTTAAGCTGCAAGTGGACAGCAGAGTCCTGTCCGTATGAGGTAGCTCTTCTGTGTCGAGCAATGCATCTGTGGAGAGGATGTTTGGTTTCTCCAATGTACGGTAAAGATGAGAGCATTCCTCACTGCATTTAACTGCATACACCACCCCACTCATCTTAGGTCTGGGGGTTTTGTCTTTAGGATGCACTAGCCAAAAAAAAATTGCAAATCTTCTTTGGGGAAGTAAGCTCGAATGTGCGATGCAAACAGCAATTTTCAATAGGTGTTCGCTCTCAGGAGCAGGTACAGGGTTGTGCATTTGCATTTTTTCTTTTTAAGAGGAGATGGTTCTTTTCAAAATTTAGGGAGAATCTTCCCCTATACCTTTAAAGGAAAACCTCAAAGAATAGCATGATGACTCTACTCACAGGTGAAAGTGGACAAGATATAAATTTAACTGATTTTTGATCATCTCCATGTTGAAATTCCAAGATCAAAATATCTTTTTTCACTTGCAGTATGTTTTCTAAAAAACTAATAACTCAAATGTCTTGCAGGAGAGAACATTTCTGTGAGGAGCAGACATTTAACACAAAGCTTCAACTTCCATTGATTCTCTTCTATTAAAAACCAGGAGAGTAAAAAAGACGTGCGTTAGTTCTGAGTTCAGTCTGATTCAAGGCTAGCAGTTGTTTTTTTGGGTTTAGACTACATAGAGATGTTTTGCCACAGGTAAGCATTTTAATAAATACAACAGGAAAAAAAATGATTACTGTTCTAGGTTTATAGGTGTTGACTCTCCTGAAATCTCTCTAAAAAGACCAGAACAAGTTAGGTTTTTAGTTTCAATAATCAGACCCAGGTAAGCCAGTTTCCAGTTACCGAAAACCTTTCAAATCAATATGACATACACCAATAAAATTATTTCTCCTGCTTTGTAGTATCTCACATCGACTAAGATTTTGCAGAATAACTCATGGATCTAGCATTAACTAAAGGAAAAGCAATTGCACTAATAATTAGTTTGCAATTGGTCAAAGAAAATACCTCTGCTAAGTTAAAGAAATGTAAAAGTTGTGAGAGAAGAATTCAGACAGAGAGAATGGAGCAGTTTATTAGCCTGTGTTAAACATTTATCATAGAATAAAGCAAGTGAACAGTAAATGAATTGCCAGGGACAAAAGCAGAAACAGTTATGTTGTTTTTAACAGTAGCTTCTTGTGAGCCAACCAGTTATCCAGACAGCATTTTGGTGTAAGAAACTGGCAGCACAGTATGCATATCACTACAAATATACACGTATTGCATGCTGCACAGCCCACTTTCAATGTTGCCAGGAAGCATACAGAAGTTAAAATGTAAGTGGGCATTCAAAAGGCATAAATGACTTTTTCTTTTTGTTGTTAAGGGAACACCTTATTGAAAGACAAGCCCTGAACAAGTCAAAATGCTGAATAGTCACATGCATACATTCAGATTAGGTCCTTGTTGCAAAATGATTTCAAATAATTAAGCCAGTATCAGTTTCAGTCTTCTATTTAACAGATGAGAGTTTAACACAAAGGGAATCCTAGATAGGGTTAATAAGGGGTGAGTACACCTGGGCATAGAATGAATGCTGTAAGGCTTGAAATGTCAAGTTTTATTTAAACCTTTACTATTATAGCTCCTCGTTGCCATGGAAACTTTTATAAATCAAGTTTAAGAAACAAATACTGAAACAGAAATACAATCTTAGAGCAACAAATACATCCAAGCTGATTTCACCATCTATGCTGGCTGTACACTGAGCTGAGATTAGTGTTTAGGTCCGGGTAATGGTTTGACTTTGTGCTGTAATATACCATTCCTCCAGTAAGGGGTGCTACTGCTACCTTCTCCTGAAAACAAGGGACAGAACATGGGCCTGTGTCATAAAATCTTGTAGTCAGATTACTGACCATTAGTGCTACTTTATCCGTCACTTTTACAGCAGGAAAAAAAAATGTTTTAGACTGCATTTACAGTAGAAGTTTCAAGCACAGACCTAAAAGTAATTTGATGCAGATAACTGCCAGATGACATAGGATTGGGAACATTACAGATGTCAATGAAGAGTGAAGATGGTGAACTTGAAAGTAAAAACTGCATCTATGATAGCAACTAGATCACATAGGCTGGAAAAAGGGCCAAATTTACATGAGATGTATTGATTTTCTATTTTAAGCTGAATTCTTATGCTGCGTGCATTTTACCTTATTGCTAAACTCAGTGAGGTTTGAAACTAGACTTAAGTTCAACCATATTTGCCAAAAAAACACAAAAAACCCAGAACAATTAAAAGAAACTGGCACATGGCTAAACCAGGTGATATAATCCTTCATAAACAAAGTTTTCATTCAGTCCTACATCAAATATAAATTAATCAGTGGCAAAAAGATCCACTTTTTTAAAGTTAGAAAACATAGACCCTAGCACTGAATGGTATAGCCATTTTAAACTGACAGTAAGGCTGGCTACTCATTATTACAGTTCAGCTCAAACTGGTCCAACATTTGCATCTAGAGCCCAAACTGGGATACAGAGGAGTTGTGGAGGAGATACTGATGCAAACTCAATGTTGACCAAAACATCTATGTTTTAATCAGTTGTCTGTAAGATTTAACAGTGGAGTTATAACAGTGAAATTCTGACAATTTTGATTTCTTTTCATCCAAAAAAATTACACTCAATATAGCTTTAACTTAATTCTAAAAACATTCTACGTAACAGTCGGCCCCATTTAAACTATCTAGCCAATTAGATCCAACCGTTGAGTCAAATGACATTTTGTATTTAAAATCCAAATGGGTAAACAGCCACAGCTGAGACACATGGACAAAGCCACAGGAAAGAAAGATGAAGCAAAGATCACTGCCGTCAGTGGGAACTGTTGTTTCCAGAAGACTCGTGGCTCCTCAGTAAAAAAAAAAAAAAAAAATATGAGTTGAGGTGGCCAAGTTTTTTCTCCAACTCCTAGTGTTCCTCCAGTAGCAGTATTATTCATTGTGTGCTCCATCCGTCACACATGCTAACTCAATCCCAGACCGTCAGGCGTGGTGATGAAAACACAGTGCACCTCCGTTTAAACTGGAAGCCTAATGATGTTCTGTAAACTTCTCTCCTGCTGCATCTCCTTAGTGATGAGAATGGTCGATCAGAGAAAATACAGCAAGTATAAACGTCATGACTTCTCAGTAAAGTTTAGGGATGAACTTCAGTTCACAATCTGTCCCCATTTTTTTCCTCCTTGCTCCCACTCCCATTGTTCTCTATTGTCCTCATCCGTCTGTGTAACATTCTCTCAGAGGCACAAGAGTCAAATATCCATCAAGACGTCAGGAGAAGTGAAGGAGTGCGACAGGAGGCGTGGACGGGAGGTGCCACTACCATATGTGAGATTCACAGTGAGTCATTTTAATCACGCCTACACCTCCACCTAACCGGCGGTAGTTCATTCCACCGTACAACCTGGAGAAAAGTAAACAGACAAGTGGAGAGAACAGAAAGCAACAAAACAAACATGTTAAATAAGTTGGAGAAAATGGGTGATATTTAAATGAAGACAGGTAAATAAAACAAATGCTATGCTTTGCAGAAGTAACTTTAAACATAATTAGTAATGTTATAAACACATCCCTAAAGTGGTACATGGTGGCAGTGCCTTGCTGTGAAGATGCTGTTCAGAGCTTGGAAAGTGGACTCGTTTAAAAAATACAATGCTATGGGTCAATTTGTGGAACATCAACTAACTTCCAGCTTAAGAACATTGCTTAATGATTTTAATGCATAGTACAGCCACCATGTTCTTCATGCTGTAAAACACCTGAGGCCAAACTCTAACTTTAGTCGGATACTTGGTAGGGCAAAAAGCTACACCCCAAATGTTGATGTTTTACAGAACATCCATGTCTTCCTTTGATATCATAACACAAACCCAACAGGTTCATTTCGTCTACAAAATAATCCCACATAAACTCAATACCAGTTGCTGATTCGCTTAGAACCTAACTAAAACATAATTTTGATGAGATGCAAACTGAATGCCTAGATAAAGAGTGATTTGTTCTTGTTTTTTTAAATACAGATTTATGATTTGCTTAGTAATTAAAAAACGCAATCAAAAAGTAATTAAATGCTTTACCTCCACGTGTTAGCATCTGGGTCATATACTTCTATCGTTTTTAAATATGTTGTCCCATCAAAGCCACCTACTGCCATCAGCTGACCGTTCACTACAGCCAAGCCCACCTACAGAGACAACAGATTAGTGTGGCAGCAAAAAAACAAAAAGACCAAACAAAGGCATTTTGACTAAACAAACAAATGTTCAGATTCACACCCCACTACGTCTGGACGTCATGGCTACAACAGGTGACCACTGGTTGGTCCTGGGGTTGTATCGCTCTGCACTGCTCAGCTCCGTAGTGTCGTCTCTCCCTCCGACAGAGTATATCATGTCTTGGTAGACCGCGCATCCAAGGTGTTTTCTTCTGGTTCCCATTGGAGAAACCGTGTGCCAGCGGTTTTCTTGGGGGTTATAGCGCTCCACTGATAAAAGATTGACAGAAAAAGAAAATTATTGATTCACATGACAAAAAGTTTCCTTCAATAAACTGCCGATCAACTTATTCCCTCTACAAGATTAAGCACCTGTGTTAAGAGGAGAAGTCCCATCAGATCCTCCGACGGCATAAAGAAATCCTCCCAGCACAGCAACAGCTACACCAAGACGCCTGGTGCTCATTGAGGCAACACGAGTCCACTTATTTTCCTTTGGATCATACCTCAAAAAAGTTATGTAAGAAAACAGTTAATTACAGATAAAATAAGTTTCAGTAACAGCAAAAATCTCCTTTTCTTTTAAGTTTTCATTACACATATATATTTCCTTACAGGCCGGAAATTGGACACCTGGGCAAGATTACATATTTTATAAAGTGTAACCCCCAGATTCCACATACACTGTCCCGCTCACATACGTTGTATGGAGTACTTGTCTGTCATGTTAATAAATGAGAACTGTTCCACATCCACCATTACATCTCCACACGTGACCGTCCATGTAAGTCTTCTCCATCTTCTACCGTCAAAATACGGAGCAAAGCTATTTTTTTGCTTCAAGATCCACAATGCAATCGCACCAAACAGAAAAAGAATGACGAGAAGATCCAATTTGTCAAATTAAAATATAGTAACGATAGATCAGTAACTACAAATTACAGCATAATTCTCATATATTGCCAAAAACTAAGGCTTTTTAATTAAATGATTGTTTGAAATTTATTGGTACTTCAACACACCAGGAAGCAGATTCCTCATCTCAATTAAAATGTTTATTTTGATTGAGATGTCTAAAAGTTTAATCAAATTGTGTCAAAAAAAACTGAGCGCATCTCACAACTTCAAAAGAAACTTCTTATCGCAGGGATGTATGAAGATACGCTGAGTTTGGAAGTAGAGAACCAACATAGTTCATACAAACCATGAATGATCTTTGTTATCCCTGTTACAATAATCCACAACAAAAAGAAAGTATTTGGGCAGAAACTGCACATATGCTGGAAGCTGATAGGGATCTTTTTTATATTTCATATTAGGTTCATTACCGCATGTTTTACTCCTATGAATTTAATAATACCGTGCATGCTCTGCTCGAGCCCCAAGGAAGTCTGAGCGGAGCAGGACAGGAGGAACAGGGGAGGCTGTAGGCTTTGCTTTACACAGGTCTAAAGCGCAGCAGGTCAGTCATGGAGGATTTGGGATTTCGGGGTAAGTGTGGGAAAAAAAAACAAAAAAAAAAAAAAACAAGGAAACCAAATGCTACCTTTCAACAATGTTGAGACATGACACTCCATCTTGTCCTCCTACTGCATACAAAAATCCACCGAGCACGGCAACACCCACACTGGTTCGACAAGTGCTGGTTGGAGCCACGTCGCTGCTCCATTGGTTGGTTTTAGGATCATATCTGCAGGAAATGGGTGTCGATAGAAATTTGTTTTGAAGACAATTTGATCACTTTTTAAATGTGGGATTTTTACTTTTTCGTCAATTTGTAAAAAGATAAGCTGGTTGCAGTCACCTTTCTACAGAGTTGAGATATGAAGAGCCATCATGACCGCCCACAGCATACAACAAGTCATCGAGTACACTGACCCCGACTCCACATCGCCGTTTACTCATCGACGCCACCATGCGCCACTCGTTAGTTTGTGGATCGTAGCGCTCCACGCTGGAAATTGCATCTCCACTGCACCAGCCACCAACTGCAAAACAAGATGAGAAGAAAACAATAACATATGACATACTGCCAGAGGTAAACTATATTTAGCAGAGTGGCTGAAGTCACTGACCTGCAAAAAGAACCTCTCCACACCGAATAGGTTTTCTAGGGCGTGTTCTGGGGCCTTGCATTAGCGGCCTCTCTTGTGGGAGCAAAAGGTAATTTTTGGCCTCATCAACCAGGTCCCTGCAAGGGTGGAGAACTTCTGTTATCTTTCTGTATATTTTACAATAGAAACATTCTTTTTGTTTTACAGTGAGGAATTTCTGTTGCGTGAGCTGCACAAGCATATATATATAAATACACAAACCTAAAGGTTTGTAAATTGCACCTCAAAGGCAAACGAAATACATTTGAGAAACCCTGTCCAGTTACTAAAAATAATACCATACTCAGACCAAATGTTTCAGGCAATTTATTTGTACAAAAAAAAAAAAAAAAAAAAACTGCATATCACACTGCAAAAGATGTAAATCTACATAAGTGCATTTTTTTCCTGAATTGAGGAGGAAAATTTGACATTTTGCCATTGGAACAAGACAATTTACATTTAAAATAAGTAACAATTGCATTGTCTTATTTAAAGTACATATTATCCAATTGTCTTATTGTAGGAGTGAAAATACTCATCCCACTGGCAAACTATCGCATATACCTACTCAAATTAAGGCTAAATACACTTAATATAAGACATTTTTACTTATTTCTAGATAATTTTTTCCAGTGTACAGGCATAAAAACATGGAGCCTGTTGGGTGTAGAGGAGATTACAAAGATTAGCAGCTTATATGAAGGATCTGTGATATTGCTCCTCTATCAACTTAGGGGGCTGCAGTCTGTCACTAAAGCAGTTCTGGAACTGCTTCATGAAAGAGGGTGGAGAAAAAAAGGGCTATAGAAAGATTTAACAAAAAAGCTATCACTAAGCAACCACTCACCTGCACTCTTCGTCACTTTTGATGAGAGGATCTGATCCCACGGTTCCCACCAAAAACTTTGGGCTTAGTAATGGCAGACGTACATGCTGCAGGACCTGCAGAGAACAAGGGTCAGAGCAGCAAGAATCTCAGGAACTTTGATAAGGAGATTATGAAACTTATTAGGACTAAAAAAAACAAAAAAACAAATTGCTTAACTCAAAAACAACAAACCAGATAAAAGTAAAAGCATTTCAATAAAACAAGTTTCATATCTCAAAGTAAATTTGTGGATCCAGAAGATCCACAAATCTACAATCAGAAGGACTGAGGAATTGTACACCTTGCAATAGTAACAATATTTCCTCCCCTCTAACAAACCTGTGGTAGCTGAGGTCTGCGTTCCTGGATGCTGTATTTCACCCACGCCATTACAGCGTTAAACACCTGCTCCTCACTCCGCACATTAAGCTCATCACTGGAGATGATGTCAATCAGCTGGTTGGCAGGAAGCAACATGAACTCCTCACTTTCCATTACCTACGATTACCCAGAGGAGAATTCAAGCCTCAGTTATTAGTCAGCTTTAGTAGGAAGGTCTGAAATTACTAAAATCTTTTAGGAGTTGAAATATACTTAATGTCACCATGTCAGACCAACATTACCCAGTTACTGTGCAATTCCAAACAATATTGGCAGCTGTGTGTCAGATTTTAAAGGACATAAAACTGTTTAGGCATCGTTACTAAATTACCAGAACACAGATACTTGAGTAAACAGTTTTCTCTATTTTTTTTCTTTTCTACACACTAATCAAAACTCCAGAAATATTTGTTTGTACCATCACTTATTTTTAACCTAAACAAAATAAATAAAACTGGTCTCACAAAGAATCAATGCATTTACGTTGGCTGAAAACTAAATCACCATTTAACATTGGGGTTAGAAATCCTGCATTCTTGAAGAATGCTGGAATGTTGCTGAAGTTTCAAAGCTTATTTTTAGGGAGATGTTCTTCACTAAATAATGCTAGGAAATCTGGTTAAACTTATTTCACAGATCAGCTAGATGTCACATATTCCATCTTGAAATGGTAAAATTTAAAAGGAGAGAACATATTTCTGCACATTCTTATCTTTGAGATTCATTAGATATTAAAAGCCTAACCTTTAAAGCACCCCTGACCTAGTCCTAAAGTACAAGGAGTGATGCCTTTATAGCACGATGGAAAACTCTAAATCACTAAAGTAACACCCTGTGCCCTATAAATGCAGTTGAAGGAGTGAAACACCCAAAAGTTAAAAATCCTTTTTTCCCCAGACTGCGGTATTCTGTTTTTCACCTCTTGAAAATTGTGCTGTGTGAACTTGTCTGCGATTCGCAGCAGTTCTCGACAGGAGTGAGTGTCGGCGAAGGCCCTGATGCCCAGACAGTTGGATGGATCCAGCTGCCTCTTCAGGAACTCACAGCAGGCCTCCTGGATCTCAGCCAGCTGGAGAAGGCAGGCAGCAGGAAGCAGCGTCTGAACGTTCCCTTCCTCCACCGTCACCTAGAAGGCCACAGAAAATGACACTTCTGATATACCTAGATTGCTTTTCCCCTTGCCAATCAAGCCAACACTGGGTAGGGTTTTCCCAGGCACACATATTGTGCCTGTAGAGCCATAACACCCTCATTTTTAAGATCTTAATACTTAGGAAGCAGGTTTTACTAATAAGTGGGGCTTTTTTAAACATCAATTTATAATTAAACAAAAGAAACTGACCCTTAAGAAGCCAGATTGTTATGAGTTTTAATAAAACATTTTGAAGTCTCCCTGTGTAAACAGAGGATTTTGGCAAAGAGGTGGTATACCATTAAAATTGATCAATACAAAAGTAGGTTAACCTCTTTGCCATTAACTGAAGCTTTGTCTTAGGCGTCCGACTGTGGAAATGTTGCTGAAACTGTTTTTGTACCTTAAACGTCCCCCTCATTACCTGTGAGGTGTAGGCAAAGTCAATGAGCAGCTCCATGGCTCTCTCATCAATGTCCCGGATAACCACTTCTGTCTGCCTGCTCTCTGCCAGCTCCCCGGTAAACATCGCCCTGAGGAGACCATCAAAGCACAGCTCTAATATTGCTGAGACTGATTCTTAGGACCCACCCCAGATAATGACATTAAATGTGACAAAAACATGCCAGTGTGTCCTTTCATACCTAAAATACGGGCTGCAGGCAGAGAGGATCACACGGTGGGCATAAATCTTCTTGGCACCCACGACGAGCACCACGTCACACAGCTCCCGGTGTTTTCTCAACAGATTAATCACCTCCAGCGTTTGCCGTGGGTGTTTGTCTGATACATAAGGCATGCGTGCTGGCTGGGGGACCCCTTCAGGGAGCTTGTTGGGGTCCCCCAGGGTACAGCGGCTGGTGATGTCCATTCCAGTGGCGTCCTGACGTGCGCTGGTGGCCCTTGCGTTAGAAAAGGAGAGCAAAAAAAAAAAAAAAAATGAAAAACTTTGAGTATGGAAAACGTGACAAAAATGCAGCTTGGCATCCAAAATATTTTTGTTTTGTAACTAAAGGGAAAGTATAGGCTTTTATTCTTTATCTTTGTGGTAAAAAAGCTTAAGAATTGAAGTGAACGTGATTATGTAACAGAAGTAACCTGTGTGAAAAATTTACAAGAAAGAAAACAAACCGCTTATACACAGTTATAGATATTCTAAGGTTAAGATTTTATCTTATAAAAAAAGAAGCCACTGAACTAAATACACTGAACCAAATAAATGGTCAACTTTATATATTAAAGTTATGTTTTTTAAATGTGTTCCTTATTCAAATCAAAAGAAAATCCAAAGCTGGGATATACCCTCATATAAAAAGTCAGTTATCTTTTCCCAGAGATTGGAAGCTTGGAAGATGACAAAAAACACAAATAAAACAACATGAATTAAACCTTAATTGGATGAAAATTTAAAGGCTTTTGGGCTGACAAGAAACTAGACCACTGTTAAAGAACCTACTGAAGTGATAATGACCGGGACATGTGAAAGGGGATAAGAGCGATGATAGCTGGCCTTGGTAGTGTAGCATTTTAGCTTAGCATATTGCATGGAATATGCAGGTCTTCATGATAACCCATATTTAAGAAAACCAAAGTTTTACAACACTGAGCCTTTATATACTAATGGAAAAACTTTTAATGCATCAAGGTTTTAACACAACACTAACCAGTAGGACATATCATACTACAAACCTCCCTCTGTACTCATATGATACTGATCCATTGCCTCTGCACGGACCTGAGCTAGTTCTAAGTCAGCTGAACCAAATATAGTAGTGCTGCTGACCTGTAGATGCTGCGGTCAGTGTAAACGTATCCACACCAGATGATGCCAGTTCCCACCCCCCAGTCGTTTTAAAACAGAGAACACAGTCCCTTTGAAGCAGAGCTTGACAGATTTTCACAGCACCAACCAAAAATCATTTAAAGATCCATTTCAGTAAATATCATACTCAACCATCATTATTTGGTTTTGGAACCCAATTCACCTGGAGCAACTAGCAAACTTACCGGTAGCTTATTTTCTTCTACCATTCTACCCTTCTACCATTATTTTGGAATAATTCCCTTATTTTTGGACAACCTATACAGCCTAAAGCTCTTTTGGACAGCAGTGAATGACTGGCAGGTTCATTTATAATATTTGGGTTGTCAAGGTGTGCTGCTGATCAGTTAAGATTGCATTCACCTGCTAACTTGCAGCCACACCTCTGAGCAGGCCGACACAACACTGCACCTACATCGCTATAAGGCAGGGGTGTCAAAGTCATTCCAGAAAGGGCCGTGTGGCTGCTGGTTTTCTTTCCACCCAAGCAGTAGCACACCAGACTCCATTCATCCCATCAAGTCATCAGGTTAAGACTAGACTCACCTTGATGAGATGAATGGTGTGCTACTGCTTGGGTGGAAAGAAAACCAGCAGCCACATGGCCCTTTCTGGAATGACTTTGACACCTGTGCTATAAGGGAACCACTTGCTGCCATGACTAGATTGCTTTATAAAACAGCTGTCCACCTAGTGATGCCTAAACACCTTTAATGGTTTGGCTACTTTGGCCTTTTCAGGACTTTTTTTATTCTGTACTGATAATTATAAGTGTTCTGAGTATAAGGGTTTGAGTTTGCATGTTACAAGTGTTGGAACATTATGGGTCACATCATTGACGTGCGCCTCTAAGGCTACGTTCATATTGCAGGCCTTGATGCTCAATTCTGATTTTTTTGTGAAATCCGATTTTTCTTTTAAATGCCGTTCTCATTTCCAAATATATGCAACTTCTATGTGATCTCCTGTGTGAACTGCAGTCATACAACGCAACTGTCCGGCATGTGAAGTAGAGGCCAGCGTGCTCTGTGTTTACGGAAGTAAACATGGGTGGTAGTGCCGGAGCGCATCTAGCGATCTTTCCCAACCATAATAACACAATCTTTTCAAGACGGTTAAACATAAATACTGCTCTCCGCATCATCGTCTGCCATGGTTGTTGTTTTTCTTGCTGCTTCTTCATAGCAGGACCCAGAATAGTGACCTTTGTCGGGTATTAATGGCGTTCAGGTCGGATGAATGCCACCTGGCCGTTCAGACAGAGGTCACATTTGAAAAGATCAGATTCGTATCGGATTCAGGACCACATAGCCAAGTGGTCTGGGTCACACTGGAAAAAAAATCTAATCTGTTTTGTTCAGACTGCCATGAAAAGATCAGCTACAGGTCACATATGGGCCAAAAAAATCAGATTTGGGTCACTTCAGGCTGCGGTGTGAACATAGCCCAAGTTATTTAGTATTCACACATTTAGGGTTCAGTAAAATATTACAACACCTTCACTTGAAAACACATAGTTTAGGCAATGGTATGGGGGCGAGTTGGCTTAACATCACCATGTTTCCACCTTCTTGCTAAATTTGTCACAAGCAGAAATTAATAGCTGAAGAGTTGTACTTTTGATCTATTTGTCCTGAATAAAATTTATCTGCAGCAACAACTTATCAATGTTCAGAAACAACTTTAATCAGATGATACTGATATTCAACATCAGCTCCCCCTCTCATTCATTCATCAACCCCATTAACCGATGTATACATGCTAATGCAACATGTTCCTTTTCTTTAGTTTTCGACAGAGGGTTTGGTGCTTTCAGCCATTGTGAAGGCAGCAGTTTTATTTATAGAATGTGGGTGTGTGTGGCCACATTCCGTTTCTTCTTTATTCTTCAGTCAAGTCATTAGGGCCACAAAACATTAACATGAGCTGAGCATTATTTTGGTGATTGATGACTTAACTATATGGTGTGAAACAAATTTAATAAACAGAGTGTTCTTTTTCACTGGGTTCATAGTAAAGATAGACCTTGATTAGGGGTCTGCAACCTGTCTAAGCTGAAGAGCCATTTTACCCCGAGTCCAGCTATATAAAGGTCGCTCAGACTGATCCACGAATGTTACATGGCCTTTAACTAAAACTTTATATTTTTGTTCAATATTAAAAAGAAATATATTGGCCATTTGAAAATCAAACAGTTTATTTGCTGTTTTTAGTTTTTAAAATAAGGACAAAACATAAAAGTTTCATAAAGTGGATTGGATTTTGTTCTATAGAATATTATTCTATGTTAAAAAAAAATAAAAATAAAAAAAAGTAAAACAGTTTTCACACTAATGACAAGAAATGTAGATCTAAAATCCATATTTTTGATTCTTTAATGTCATTCTGTTGTGAAAATTAAATTCATATGTTCTTTAAAAAAAAAAACTGCTCACGCTTTTAAGAATGGCATTGATTAATCTACCATAAAAAACAAAAAACAAACAATTATTCAACTCATTATCGTTTTTTAGCCACTATTAATAGCCATTGTAAAAGGTCCAAAGAGCCACAGGTTGTAGACCTCTGACCTAGATAAATAGTCCTAAATTGAGTTGCCAACCAGCTGCTGGAGGAAAAAAGGGAATCATAGTTTCTGAATATCTTTCTCAGCTTATCACTTTAAAAATCTTTTGATGCTAAAACAAACAACTAGTCACATTAAATATATCACATGGACAGAGCCTTGATGCATAGCACCTAATTTCAGCAATAATTTATTTCAGTATTGTTAAACCGTAACAGTCATTAACCCAAGGAGGGAGAAAATGACCAGAGGTTTAAATGACAAGGATAGAGAAACAGAGAAGAGGTCAGATCAAACCAAACCACTAATAGCTAAGCTGCAGACTTTCAGTGGAGAATCTCAATTTTAACCAAATTCAATAAGAGTTTTGTCATAAAAACTAAGCCTTGCTGTTTATCCGTCTTGTAGCTGAATCAATGTGGAGACATTTTTGTTTTTCCTTTCATCACACAGTATTTTCATCCAGTTATCCCCCATAGATCAGTGATATGTTGAATTCCTGTCTGAAAGAGCTGTTAAGATTGTTGTTGGGACGACATTGGAACCATATAGGAGATTGTGGCATTTCACCGTTTTCCACTACTACGGTTGAACGGCCCTCAGAGCTCTAAGTGTTTTCAGAAAGAGCAAAGTACTACTGTGATGTTATACCTACCTTCGCATTGGCTTTGTGTCCATGCACTGAAGAACAATATCTGGTTCAGGTCAACCTGTGAAGACAATATAAAATCACAACAAATCTCCATTTTTTACATTTTTAAACCTTGTTTAGGTCAATCTTAAACTTTCTGCACAAATTTTCTTTAAAGTAATATGTTATTTTTTAACTTTGTTATATGACTGAGATCAAACATCGGCAACAAATAAGCTATCAAGTAGAATTTATCATCAAAATATTTGCTCACCCATCCAAATAATTGGTATCAGGTGTTTCAACAACTTCCATGGCTGCAGGTGTTTAAAAATCAAGTACCTAACCATGCAGACTATTTCTGCAAACATTTGACACTCTCTTTCAGGAATGTGCAGTGAATTCTAGCTTGCTACTGCGATACGATGCCTCCTGTTTAACAAACCCAGTCGTGAAATTTACTTTATCCTTAATATTCAACTGTCAGTGGTATCACACAAAGTAGAAGCAATTGCGAAAACTGAAGGTAAGACATGAAATTGTAGGCGACGTAAACGAACGCGCGGGGTGGGTGGGGGTGCTGTGGCCCAGAGGTCACAAACGTTCTGCAGTCAATCCCTGCAGTCATTTAGACAATGTGTGACCTTCAAATTGGTTTCTAAAAATCACTGGGCGCAATGCAGGGTGCTGGGTGCACTGCTGTGGTGCATGCTGCCAATGGACTCTGGAGTGACGAATTGTGCTTCTCTGTCAGGAAATCTGATGGATGAGCCTGGGTTTGGTAAATGCCACACTGGAAAAAATCTAAATCTAGCTAAGTTATTTTTTTCTTAACATAAGTGTATTTTTTCTTGAATTAAGGAGGTAAGTGAGACACTTTGCCAATAGAACAAGCCAATTTACATTTAAAATAAGAAAACACAATTGCACAGTCTTATTTCAAGTGCATATTATCTAATTTTCTTATTTTAAGAGTAAAAATACTCATTCCATTGGCAAATCATAGCATTTACCTACTCAAATTAAGGGTAAATACACTTAATTTAAGAAATGTTTTACTAGTTTCTAGATTGTGTTTACAGTGCAAGCAAACAGTACTTCCTGTGCAAAGTGGAAAGGGAAATGTGTTTTTGGATTGTTTCATATAAAACAGGTCTGGCCCCTTAGTTCTAGTGAAGGAACCCTGAATCCTTCAGCATACCCGGATATTTTTGACAATTCCACGCTAACAACTTTTTTTTCGGGATAGTTTGGAAATTGTTTGTCTTCCAACACAAGAGTAAACCAAAGCAAGATCCATTAAGACATGGATGAAAACATTTGGTGTGGAAGAGCTTGATCGTCCTGCAGAGCCCAATAGATCCAGGCCTTCTCATTCAGCTTCAGTATATAACCTCCCAAATATCATTCTGGAAGAATTTTCAGAAAGCATCAATAAAGACGCTGCTAAAAATTGTAAACAGCATTCCCAGAGGAGTTGAAGCCATGCAACTGCAAAGGGTGGACCAAGTCATAGCTCCCCCAATGGATTGAGGACAGGGTGTCGCATATGTTCAGATTCAAGCCAAGGCAGGTGAGTAAACTTTTGTTATTGAAGTGTGGATCTAATATTGTAATAATAATGTATTGTTAACATCATTTTATACAATATAATACAAAAAAAACCTCTGCTATCAATTAATGGGGTTCTCTAAAAGACGCTCTGGTCACTTCTAACACTTGGTAGCATGTAAAGCTTTTCAATCTAATATTGGCTAGTTTGCTCTCTTTCCAGTAGGCAATTTAGGCAATGATTAAACTTGGTCATTTTCAAAACATTTGACTAGTTTCATACTGTTTTTCCATAAAAACTAGAGAAAAAATATCCTTGTGAATTAATGTCTGGATAGATATAAGTCAGTAATGATTACAGTTCTGTATTACAGTGCATATGAACTTTTTGGGGAACATTTCTAAAATTGTATATAAGTGCAAACTTGTTTCTGTACTTTTAAGCGTAACTAATGTATAAACTGCACCCTAAATGTATGTTTAATACTTATGATTGTTGTAATATTACCTCTCCTAGGTCTATTAAACGAAGTTTGGTAGTGACTATATCCCATTTGAAACACATGATGACACAAACTTTATGGCTCCAGACAAATAAGCCAACAAAAGCCATTTACTTCTACAATACTCAATAATAAGTTATTCTACATTTTTTTTACTGATAAACAAGTAGCTAAGCTAACAAAGGCCAACTGGTGGCTTTTTAAATGGCCAAGAAGGAGGCTAATAATAAAATAAACATTTTAGTGTATTAAAATATTGAATATATTCAGAAAAAGATAGAAACCCATTAGTAGACTAAGAAAATATCCATTTTAAAGACTAAAATAAGCGACGTTAACTTCCCCAGTGAGTATCTGGGAGAGGCTAGAGAGCTAGCACTGTGAGCACTCCCCAGGTACATACTGTCTTTGAACAAAATATAACTTATTACAGAAACATGGGTTAATGTGATGTGAATGAGACCTTTACGAGCTTCAAAGTTCTCACACATATGTAGCTGTTAGCGCTTTAGGTGTAGATTAGGACACAAACCACAGACTGGGTAAAATGTTAGCTAACCTTTGCAAAAATAACGTTTGTTTATTGGTTTACAGTGCAGAAAATCCACAGCAACAGAGGCAGGAATATTTAAAACGAGGTTTACCTTATATTTCCGTCCATATATGACTGATAGAGAAGTAGCCTGGGAGGCTAGTGTTTACAGTTCCCTGCCGCTGATAAACGCCGAAGCTTTTCCTTAGTGAGCTGCGCGTGCCAAAATGCTAAACCCCACTTCCGGTTAAACGTCTCGACCGTTTTCAAAATAAAGGTATAAGATTACGTAATTTCTTTATCAGTATTAAGAAAATTCATTTAACCGAGAAAAAAAAATAGAAGCATAGTAAACGATAGTATACATATTTATGAAGCAAAGATATCTGCCTAAGAAAATGTTATTCGAGAGCATTTGTTTGTTCATGATGTGAATTCCTTACATGCTTTTTTACTCATTATCCACTAGAGGGTGCTGATTTCCTTTTTTTAAACAACTTGGAGTATTTTTTTTTTTTTGTCCAAAACCTACACTGAAAAAACAATGCAGCCGTTAGTGGTATTTACTTAATCATTTGTAGTTACTTTAACACAATTGTTTCATGTTAGCAGGATAGGACATAAAACAATTATGTTAAAGTAACTAAATAGGATCAAATAAATGCAAAAAAGGGTTGCAAATTTTTATTTTTTTTCAGTGTACAAGTGGTCGCACAAATGTAAACATTGAAATGGGTATACAAATTACAGAATAAGCGAAAGTTGCAAAAATAAAAATAAATAAAATAATGTACTGTGTAGTTTTTTTACTAATATAAAAGAAAATATAAAAGTACATTTCTCCACTGTGAGATAAATCAATCAAATACTGTGCAGTTATCTGAAGAATAAATAATCAATGTACAGCTGCAGACCTTTTTTACAGTAGTGGATATGTAAAAATGGCAGCAACACCAGAGATGGTCAGTTAAATGACATGCTGCCATCATTTTGCACAAGATAGAAACTGCTTATTGTGGTTGTTGGGAACAGTGATGATTATAAAGTCTTACTGCTGCTGGGAGGAAGGATCTGTGATAACGCTCCCTGGTGCATTTAGGGTGCAGCAGTCGGTCACTGAAGGAGCTCTCCAGTTCTGCAACAGCTTCATGCATAGAGTTGGAGACATTATCCAACAGAGGTGTTATTTTAATTATGCTCTTTTTTGTTTCCCACCTCCTGCACTGAGTCCAGAGGGCATCCAATCATAGAGCTGGTCCTCTTGATCGGCTTATCCAGCCACTTTTTCTCAGCTACAGATAAGCCACTGCTCCAACATGCAGCTCCATAGAAGATGGCTGATGCCACCACAGAGCCAAAGAAAGTTTGCAGCTTAAGGAGACCTTCAAGGCTCCAGCATTATCAAAATATTACAGTGATTCAGATAAAAAAGACAGAGTACTCACTGTTAAGAATGATCCACTCTGTCCATGCCCCATTTCATTCTCAAATCTCTGTTATATACATAAGTTGTAGCTAATTGTATATCTGGACAGAGGAGCTGTCCTAATTAGATAAACTACTTGGGAAAACATTAGTTCTGACATGTAACAGGCAGGTACTGTAATATTAGGGATAAAAAGTCTCACACATCATTAATAATGATATTCCTAACAGCAGCTAGATTTTCTTTGTTTTGCCCTGAACTTGGCACCATCTCTTAACTCTTACAGATGTCTCTGTTCCTATTAACAGAAAGCATCGGAACGCAGCACTATATCGGCATGCTTCATCATGAGGATGATGTGTTCAAGCCTCATGATGGGCAGTGCTTGTTTCCTTCCTTACTGTTTTTACAGTTTTGCATGTAGGACAGAAGTTTATTTTTATTACAGAGCAAAGCATCCTCTTCTAATTTATTTATTTTATATCCCATGCATGGGTTGGAGCACATTTTAAACTGTCCTCTGTTTTGGTATCGTTCCTTAAGCACTTTCATCTCTCTAATTGCACAACTACCGTAATAGTTTAACTTTAAACAGATTCTTTCTCCTGAGCTTGTCTCTCAAGCTCCTCCAACACCGTGGTCATATTGAACGTATTCCTTGCTCGTCAGTGTAGCTGGACGGCCGTGTTATGGTAGGACTGTGAGTGAGTAGTCTGATTTTGTTTTTGGATGATGGCTTAAGGATTTTCTCGTCTAGTACCTATTTTATAAATATATATCACTTTGGATACAGTGATATACAGATTATATCTGTATATATAAATTAATAATTAATAAATTTAATTAGGTCATTTCTAGGAGCTACTGTGCAACTAGGGATTCTATTAGAGGTAAATGATTAAAAGGGAATAACCCCATTTAACAAATATGCGAAACTTGTGTCAAGCAATTACATAAATAAAAACATCCAAGGCTCTTACTGTGCAAGAGTCTACTTTATTTCTATTTATGGTGATTAAAAATACTGATGTAACATATAAAGTCAAACAGATTAAAAAAAAAAAAAAAAACTTCCATAATTGTTTTTTTGTCTTGCATTTGCATATCTGTGCCATGAGCTTTTTGCTACCTTGCTAGTAGTAATCAGGTCAGTGAAGTGATTTAATGAGACTTTATCTAAAAAAAATAAATAAATACAAGACTATTAGGTGCTCATGTTTGAAAGTAAGAATAAATTTGAAACAGGCAGCAGACAACTTCTTTTTAAAACAGTTTCTTTTGGGCATAAAAATTGTACGCATTAACTGATGGAATCATATTTTTTAAAAATCCCATAGTTGTAGTTATGACATTTGAATGATGTGACCTGTTACTACTGTAAAAACTTACTATACTACCACTTACTACTGTGAAACTTCTGCATTCTGCAGTGTAGGATCATGTTAAAAAAAAATTTCAGATTCTCGGGTTTCAATGTTGATGTTCATTCACAACGGCAGTCTGTCATTTTACATAACCTCACTAAAAGTTTAAGGATGTTATCTTGGAATATTAGTAGTATATCAAGTTATTTCTAGTTCAAACTAACACTTTAGTTATTCTAGACATAATTCTAAACTTGTATTTAAAGACCTATAGCTTTCTTTTTCAAAACCTAATAAGGCTGATACAAGAACATTTATATTATGAGTAGGCCTACTCAAGTTTAAAAAGTAGCTTTTTGTTGGAAAAAATGTAGTTTTGGAACAAATCTTACTTAAATCTTACTTAACGTTAATCGTAAAAAAAAAAAAAAAACTAGATAAAAAAAAGGATGCTAAACAGCTTACCATATATCATAAAATAAATAGTAAATGATCTTGGATAGACCAAGAATACTTATTTTTTTTGAAACGATGTCAACACTAATAGCAAAGAAATAGAATCAAGCAAAAATATCGGTCCTCATATTGTCCTTTCATTCCGTAGAAATATCAAATCAGTTTTCTGTGCTTAATTTAATATATTAATAAAGTTATCAAATTAAAAGAAAAAAAAGTATTTCTAACAAACAGGTCAGTAAACTGTGCGCAATGTAATGGCTCCTAAATTTTGTTTTATGATAAGGCAGTTTTCCATCACTTATACAGCTTTTGGGCTTCAATTAGCACACTAACAAATTCAAAGGTGGTTAAATTGACTGTGAGGGGGGGTTAGTGGTGTAGTGTGACAGAACCAGCAGGAAGGCAGTCTGTATTTTTACTGAATTGCACACTCTACTGTTGAGGTGAACAGAGAAAAGGACATTTTTCTATTCATGTGAATCTCTGGTGGTTTTATTAATTTTATGTGACCTAGTCCAGTAACTTACCACAAAAATTCATTAGAAAAAAAACATCTTAATTTCCCCTTTGTAAATGTGAACAGTCTCTTTTACGTGTTTAACAAAAAGAAAATCACATATAACTTTAAATTCATAAACAAAGTGCCTCATCTCATTCATTTGTAAAAATAAATATAAGTTCATAACATAAATATAGAAAGAAGTTTCATCTTAAACATTTATATTTTAACATCTTATGTGGATCCATATAGTTAAATTAATCAATTTTACAAGTTTATCTTCTATTATGCCAACACCTCAGTTAATACGGGCAGATCAGTGCTCTTATCCTACAGGATAGTGATCCATAGCCTCCTATACATTCGACAAGACTAATAAGCAGATCATTTCCATTTCAGATTCTATATAAACATTTTAAACTTTTTTTTTTTTTTTTTTTTTTTTTCAAGAGATGTGCTAGAACTCAAGCATGGCTGATTGGAAGCTGCATCATGGAAGTTGATATGACCGGCTGAAGCAAAAGTTGGTCAGGAGCTTGGAGTGGAACTAAGAGAAAGATAAACATGAAACAAAGAAAGCAGAATTAATCAGGATTATCTTAGGAATTAGTAATCAAAATAATTTCAGTGTATTTGGTCTTGAAAATGATCTGATGTGAATTTTAGAAACAATATTGTTCATTTCAGAAATAGATTCCTAAAGCCAAATGAATACATCATGAGATTTGGGTGAAATATCTGTTTGGCTGATTCTAGCAGCAGGAGTTAAGTACAGTGATGAGGGTTTTTATAGCTTACCATCCATATAAGTCAGAGTAGTGAGAAGGGGCGTGTCAGGAGAAAGATAGGTAGTATACTGTAGATCCTCAATCAAGGGTGGAGTCAGCTGACCAGGACCAAATGATGTCACCATGTTAGAGGAGCCTTGCATTGGACTGATGTGTTTCTTTTGACGAGCTCGGCAGTTCTGAAACCAGACCTGAGAAAGGGGAGATTACATGTATGACGTCTCAATACTGATAGGGAGTTTGGTTGGTATAAATATACTATTTTTGTTTTGAAACATGCATATCTGATTCATATACCTGTAAGGTAGCATGACTCCCCAAACAAGGAGATTAAAATTTTTTAAATATTTAATTTTTTTCCTTGCATACATTAAAAAAGGTTATTTAACAAAATAGGCAATCATCAAGGTCCCATCAGTCTCATTAACAACCTGAAAACAGTCTGATAGTGAAGATAACAGGCTGATCTCATCTGCCTACAAACATACATTATATACCTGTTACCTGTTTTTATTTTAATCATTTTCACCACAAATAAGCATCATAAAGCTTAAATTACTCAGAAGTTAGTGAATTCCTCTCTTCCAGTGGTACAGTCAGCCTGATGGCCAAAAGAAAATGAGGACCAACTAAAAGGCATACATAACCTTCATGACTTTTAAGTGCGATGTATTTTGAAAACATGTGTAATGTTTATATGATACTAATTTTGTTGCAAGTGTATTTAATATAAAGCAACATGACTCATTGTACTTTAAAATTACTTTATCTTTATTGCCTTGTTTAATGAAAGGAATGACTGCTTATATACCCAGAATGAGTGTGTACAAAGGGGGAAAAAAAAAAAAAAGTCTAATCACATTACTTCTAATCACGTTTTATAAAAATTACCTGAATGACCCTGCGGCTGAGACCAGTTCTCTCTGCCAGCTTCTGCAGTGTCTGGGCATCTGGGTTATTATCTTTAGCAAACTGAGTTTGCATCACCTACAGATATGGAGAGACAGAGTTTTACAGTGGTAAACACTTGTTAGAATCAACCATCTTCTCCCGCTTATTCCATAGTGGTCACTATCTCTTGCAGTCTAAGAACGAGAGGCAGAGAAAACCCTGGACAGGTCGCCAGTCTGCCGTAGTTCGTAGAACCTATTAAACTTTTCATCAGTCTTTCTTTAAAATGATCTTCAGTGTCAGCTATGAACAAGATAAGTGCTTCTCTGGAGCCTTTAATTTCTGCAGTAATGCAAAGAAAGGTCTCTGCAGTGGCGCCTGGTTAATAGAGGGCACTACGGCGCCACCCCATCCACTCAATGTAAAATATTTTGATATGTATATATTATGTCTTTTTAGATGTGCAAGATAAATATTTTATCTTTAATGATGAGTCAAGCTTTGTCGTCAGATTGGTGATGTTTGGAGGTGTTTGTTAATTTGCACAGTTTTTCTTAAACATTCTCAAAAAATAAATTGTTTTATATATTAAAAAAACCCTTTTTTCTTAATATATGAAATATAGGTTTAACATGTTGGGTTTTGTTTACAAATAAGCTTGCTATTAGATGAAGAACAAAATGTGACGTTAAAATGTAGCGGGGCCGGTCTGTGGGAGCTAAGGGGTGAAATGACAAGAACTTTTTAAAGGATCAATTTTATCATCTGCCTAGTATAGGAGAAAAGGGCTCAGTGAAATATAACCACCAAGTCCAAGTACCTGCAACTGGTCAGCAGTAAAGCTGGTCCTGGCTCTCTTTGCAGGTCGGGGAGTAATGCTTGGATCATCTTGGTTGGCTTGGTCATCTTGGCTTGGTTGCTCTTCAAATCAACATTGCACAAATGATAAATAGCAGGTAACTCCTGAAACCCTTAGTAATGCTTAGGATGCTTCCTGGTTTATGGATGCTCATTTGTAGGATGTGTTGCTCTAAATGACTTATAATAAAATACTTAGCAGGAGGTTTAGGCACTAAAAGTGTTTAACTTTGCAATCAAACATTAGCCCATCATGCTCACCATTCTCCTTAGCACGTTTCAGATTCTCCATCATCATGTCATAGTGAGCTCGACAATAGACCCTGTTTTCAAGCAGTCCACATTCCTCTCCAGTAGAGAGCTGCCTTTTGCAAGAGGAGCAGGAGAAACATGGCAAGTGGAAGGTGCTTCCCTTTGCACGGCGCACCCAGTCAGTAGAATGGATGTTGCGGCCACAACGTGCACATCGAGTGCCATACCTCCTAAATAAGAGAAAACAAAAAAGAATATAATATTGCTTTTAGCTATAGAATAATAGAAGAACACAATTAGATCCCAATATTTTATTCAATGGACATTTTTTACAAGGCTATAAAATATTTAATCTAAATAGACCATTTCCTGTGTTTGTTTGATTGCTCCCTACAGATCAACCAAATAAGTTTAAACTTCTTTTTCTTAATATTCAAACAATATTTACATACCTGAAGTAATCAAGCTTGCAAAACACTTGTTTATCTTTCACATAACAGCTCACATGTCGCCCCAGTGATGTCTGACATACACTGCATGCTAGACAACGCACATGCCAGCACAAGTTGTTCACCTGTACAGAGGGGACATTGGAGGCATTTTGGATTAAAAAGAAGCAATGCAATTCACTTCTAAAAGATAAGAGACTACATTTAAAAGTATTAGAATTTGTTTATATTCCTTAACACTGTAGTTAAACACTTTTTTTTGTAAGACTGCCACAATTACCAGCATCATCATTATCTACAGCAGTAGAGGAATGATTCGGACCTTGAGAAGGTATCTGTCCACAATTTCCTGACCACAGGAGGTGCACAGGATCTTCACCTGCTGGGAGGAAACTGGAGGGACAGAGGACAAGGAGGATGAGGAGAGGGAGGATGGAGAGTAGGAGTCTTCTTCAAAGATATCATCAGCTCCTGAGGAACCCTGTTGGTGACAAGTAAACATACTTCATAATATCTTTAATAATTAAAGTACAGATAAGAAACTTATTCAAGCCGTTTTTTACCCAGTGATTAGAAAATTTGAATTTCAGAGAAGAAGCTGAATTTGCCATGTTTACTTTATGTTGTGGTTGTTTCAGTTTCTGTACCCTTACTAAATGCATGTATTACTCTTATTGCACTCCTTTTTTTTTATAGTTTAGAAAAAAAACAAGACCAGATTAAAAAATCTCTTAGGAAATGAAACCATAGTAAATAAGCAATTGGCATATAGATTTACTGGCTTTCTTGATAAATAGTACTTTTTAAAAAGTGTTTACAATAAGATAATTAAAAACACTAAACTAAATACACACTTGAAGGCACAGAATGTTAAGAGCAGTCCGCTTGTGCCCTGAGAAGGTTACAAGTACTCTGTTTGATCCCCACAGCCAGCACTCTTAGGTCCCTGAGCAAAGACCCTTATCCCCACACTGCTCCCTGAGCACCGCACAAGGACAGCCCACTGCTCCCCAAGGGGATGGGTTAAATGCAGAGGAAAATTTCACCAATGTGAGATCAATAAAGTTCAGTTATCATTATTATCATAAAAAAATGTGTTGAAATATTAATCCATTTGACGTTGTAGGCTTTGAATTACCATAAAAAAAATATTTAGAATTAAGTCATTTAAGAATTAATGTTATCTCATTTAGGTAAAAGTGCAGATATTGTACATCTCTGCTGGATTATTAAGATATTAGCTGAAAATGTTTGTGTGGTGAGCTTTGTAGCATCTAACCGATTGGGATAAATCATTGTTTTAAAGATAAAATTAATCTAAGTTTGACTAATTAAATTAATTTAAAAAAAAACTGAAAGGCCCGGTGCATGACAATATGTTGTTAATAAGTTGGTTTGTTTTCTGGTGTATTACAAAGCAATATACCAAATATTTCCAAAGATGGAGAAATCAGGTCAGTTAATGTATTATTTTAAGTAACAAAGGAGTTGAGAGTAAACATGACTAACTGAACAAGTTAAGTTTTTAAATAAGAACTGTTTGGGAAATTTAGTATATGGCTAGGTGTTTTTTTATTTTATTTTGTGGTTTAATTTAGTCATTCATAAACAAAAATCAAATTAATAGATTATTGCTTTTATTTGTGGAAATAGTTTTCATTTTCCAATGATTTGTTACAGGTTTTGAAATGTTTAAGAGCCAAAATGACTTTCAGCATGTAAACTCAACATGTATTTGTTAGTTTTTCGTTTAATCCTTTAAAAAAAAATTTTTTTTTGTTATGCAAACAGCCAAATAAATATTTTTTCAGGAGCACTAGTCCTGCTTGTGAGAGTTCGTCCTTGTTTTTACAACTATCGGCCTGTCTCGCTCTCTCCTAATATATAGTGGAGGAAAAGTTAATTTGATATTGAAAACACCTACTGTGTCGTAAAAGGCTTGCTCCTGCTGCAGCTGAGAGAAAATTGCCTCCGCAGTGAGCGTTTTCCCCTCTGACATGGTGTCCGCCTCAGCGACGTCCCAGCCTGGATAAGAATGGAAGGAGATTATTTCCTCCTTATATTTCCTTCACGGCCTGGTCGCTCACATTGGAGGTCACTGTAAAATATGAAAAATAGTTTTAAAAAAAAATTGCTAGAGATTATAATTTATAAAGAACGGGTGAATAAAAAAAAAAATAAAAAAAACGGATTTGCAAACCACCGCTTCACGCGCAGCTGAGTGTCATCGTCACTGATTGCGCTCAACCCTGCACGTGCCTGAGATTAAAGTTTTTATCAGGTGTGTTCATCACCTGGTGAGATTTCACCTCAAAGACGGCCTGTCGTTTCTGACTCTCCTCTTTCTTCTATGCTTGTTTGTTCGTATCATTATCAATATTACAATTTTACACATTGTTTTTACATTTAAAACGCATAAAAACGTTTTTCCTAAATCTCACAACTCGATACAAATGGCATTGAGACATTTAAATTAACTGTGGCCCCTAAATTTCATAAGGTCTGTCCCGTCATTTTCAATACCAAAACATTTTTAAGTTATTGAATAGCGTTTATGTTTGATAATTACTACGTTTTTACGTTCATATATTTTGCATTCATTACCGACATGCCTGCATAGCGAGTACTTTAGGTCATATTAATAATTATTTTTTAGGATAAATATTTGGACGCCCGATTCACGTGAAAATAAAACATTCTTATTTTGCGCACAATCGCTTTCTTTTTAAGAAATATATTAAATAAATGAAATCATTTAACACAAATGACACTAAATACAAT